GTGGCCGTTTGTTCTAGATGCTGTTTCTAGACATTGCCGTATACACAATAGGATTTCGCTGCTGTTCTCTCTGGACGTTACAGCAGAAGCACACCCGGCTTTGTTTCCTCCGCTTTGCATTCCGCTGCTTTGCGGCTGCATGAGGATATGGTGTTGCTCCGAACCCCACGCCCTTCCCTAGCCATTCCACCGCTGCCGGGCATTTTAAATACACACTGGCAGCTTCAGAGCTTCAGAGTTTGTGCTTTCTCTGCTTTAATGGATGCTTCCTGGTCTGATCTCCCACCTCCCCATCAAAGTTAGACAAGAGAGAGAGGTGTGCTCTCTGCCCACCTTGGGTGGTGGGACAAATGCTCAGCTGCTTTCTGTACGCTCCCCTCCGTCTCAGGAGAGGACAGCAGCTCAGTATGTAGTTAATTAAACTCTCGTCTCTGCTGTGGGGTATCCGTATTTGGTTATTGGGGTGTATCTGTCTTCCTAACACCTTGAACTCAGGGACCATTTCCAGGGTGTTGACTCCCTCGTCCTGAGCGTCAGCCAGCAGAGAAAGTGGGCACCCCAAGCTTTCACTCACTCACTTGATGGACAGCTGCCATGGGGCACCAAAGGTGCCTGATCAAGGACCAGTCAGCTAAATGTGACCATGGTGGTTGCAACGTGTAAGTGCTCTGAGAAAGAGGAGTTAATTTTTTTAAGATTCTTTTTTTAAATTGAAGTATCGTTGGTAGACAATCTTATATTGGTTTCAAATACACAACACAGTGGCTCAACAGTTGCCCGTATTATTAAATCCTCACCCCCCGCTAGTGCGGTTACTGTCTGTCAACACAGAAAGATGTTACAGAGTCACTGACTATATTCAAAAGGAGTTCGTTTAATCCAGTGGTCACTGTGGCCCCAGGAAAAGCAGACCTAGTAGAGCAAGTTATTGAGTCTCTGGATCTCTGAGGCCCTGGAACCCAATTTTGACTAACTCCCAGGGGGACTTGGTTTCCAGTGGTGCACATCTGGCCAGCATCCTGGATGAGAAGAGGTCTCCAGGTCTTGCACGCTGCACGCATTGCAAACCGCACATACACACCCATCCGTGCTGAATACGGCCTTAAGTCTGGAGCCAGCCAGCAAGATCCTATCATGTGCAGCCTCTGGGAACAAGGCATCCATGGGACAGGAAGGTGAATATACCTGGACATGCAACTCTCCTTGGCGGTCTGGTTCTCAGTGGGGCAGGCCCGACTCAGCCCAGCCAGAGTCACTTCCTAGAAAGCTTTTGCACTGCTGTGATTTTAGCCCCCGGACCCCAGAGCTAGGAGCAGTGACTGTGGGGGGAGCTGATTACGGCATCCTTTCTCCTCTGCTCTTGCTGGCTGTGTTGGATCCGGACGGGCTGGGATGGCTGGGGGAGGTCACGGGCCTCAGAAAGAGTCACCACCAGCTGCATGGCCCCAGACCCTGGTTCCTGCCACCTGCCGCTTCAGGCACCTAGAAGGCAAACTAACAAGGAATGTGTAGAGAGTAGTCAGGTGAGATCACAAGTTCCAGAATGAGTGTTTTTTGGTAACCCTGACCATAGGGGTCACTAGAGGGGATTTTCAAGCCTCAGTTTCCAAGCCCCACCTCTGGAGATTCAGATGTACCAGCTGTGGCAAGAGAGACTAGAAATTCATGTTTTAACAAGGAACGAGTTGGGTGGGGGGTGCGGGTGAGAGTTTCAGTTGGGAGGTTTGGAAAACACTCTAACCCACCCAGCAGAGAGACGGACAAAATGAGGGTTTAGAGACAGATGTCAGTGATAAAAATGCCCCATAATTCTTAAGAGAGCTGATAACATTGTCTTTGGCATCAGGAAAACTTAGGTTTGAACTCTGGCTTTGCTCTGTGAGCTCAGAAAGTTACCTAGTATCCCAAAGCCTCAGGTTGCTCATCTGTAACATAGGAATAATCATTTCTACCTAACAGGGTTGAGAAATAATTAAGTGAGGTAATGGATAAAAAACATTTAGCCATGTGTTGAGACATGGTCAGCACCCAATAAGGTTAAGCCTTCAAAAATAAAATGTTATACAAATGCTGGTGAGGATGTGGAGAAAGGGGAACCCTCCTACATAGTTGGTGGGAATGTAGATTGGTGAGACCACTGTGGAAAGCAGTATGGAGGATCCTCAGAAAAATAAAAATAGGAATACCATTCAATCCAGTTATTCCACTTCTAGGAATTTACCTGAAGAAAATATTCCACCTTCAAAAAGACACAGGCACCCCTATGTTTATTGCTGCACTGTCTGCAATAGCCAAGAAATGGAAGCAACCTAAGTGTCCATCAGTAGATGAATGGATAAAAAAAAGGTGGTACACATACACAATGGGATATTATTCAGCCATAAAAAGAGAAGAAATCCTCCCATTTGCAACAACATGGGTGGATCTAGAGGGTATTATGCTCAGTGAAATAAGCCAGGTGGAGAAAGACAAATACCATATGATTTCACTTATTTGTGGAATATAAAAACAAAGCAAAAACTGAAGGAACAAAACAGCAGTGGACTCACAGACACTGAGAAACAACTAGTGCTTACCAAGGGGGAGGGGCTGGGGTGGGTGTGGGGGAGCATGAGGGGGATGAAGGGGAAAAATAAAAAATAATATGTTATAAATATCACTATAATAATGGTCATTTGTAATCTTTCAAATTTATGCCATTTGTAATCTTTTCATCACCTTTGACACAACTTGTTTTCCCCCAATCAATCAACCTATCAATCAATCAATCTATCTATCTATCTATCTATCTATCTATCTATCTATCTATCTATCTATCTATCTATCCCTCCTTCTTGTCTCTCACCTCCGCAGCATGTGATCAAGGGGACATGTTTGTGAAGGGACTGGCAGAAACTAATGGAGCCACAGGACCCAACAAATCTCACAAGTGGGTGTCAGGATCAAAGATCCCACTTTGCCCTTTTTAGCAACATTAACAAAAAGCTCAAAAGAAGAATTGCCAATTACCCGATCATTCCAAAAATCAGTGTGAGAGCTGGAAGGACCCTCAGACCTTATCCGGTCTGACTGCCCTTTCACACAGAAAATGCAGATGGGAGAAGAAGAGACCCACGTGCAGTTATGCTAAGGAGCTGTGGCACCGCCATCCGGGTCCAACCCTGGCTGCATCCAAGCTCTGTGCATGGAACCAGAGCTGGGACTCAGGAGCTGCGTGTCCTGACCCCTTGTCTTCTACTCTTTCTTCCCTTTACTTCCTCTTCAGTCCACAAAGATGGTCCACATCAATCATTTAATGAAAGCCATCGTGAGCATAAAAGCCACAGCTCTGGAGCAGACCCATATCTGATCTAATCCCACGGGGCAGATGGAGTGGCTCTATTACACAAAAGAGGTGTATCCGAGTTGCCCAGGCTCACACAGCTAGTAATTGTCAAAGGCAGGATTTGAACCCAGGGCTCTCCCTGAAGCCTTGATGCTTCCCACCTTGGACCAGGAAACCTGTTTGACTCCAGAACCACCTCAGATTGCCCTCAGGTCATCCACACACCCTGTCCTCCTTGATGCCCTCTCCTGCCCCCGCGCCGCTGTCAGTCTGGAATGCACACTGGCTGGTAATCAATGTTACACAACAGGAACATTTGTTGATGCCAGTTGCAAACTGTTGCAGTCTGTATAGATTAAGTCACTGCTGCTGACTCCATGAAAGTAAATGAGCCTTTCCAACAGCTGCTAAAATAAATTTAAATCACAGTGCTGGCGGGCCCGGAGACTGTGGCTGAGTGAGTGTCTCTCTGCAGAAAATCAACAAGGACAGCTATCAGTCCCCGGATGTAATTCCTCTCCATCCCGAGGCCATCACTGGGCATGGTCTGACTGCTCCAGCTTCTTACTAGAAGCTTGTAATGAGAGTGACGATAGTAAAAACAATGACAGCAGCTGGCACATACGGGGCACTCACTGTGGGGCATCCACATGTCCGTATACTTTACATGCATCCACCAATTGCACAATGACATCCTAGGGGATTAATAGCCCCATTTTCCAGCTGAGGAAGCTGAGGCTCAGAGAGGTACCTCCATTTGCCAGCTTGCAATTGGCAGAACAGGGTCTCAAATAAGTAACTGAAGCTCATTTCAGGCAGGGTTCTGCCAAACAGCTGCCTGGACCAGCCCTTGTTTAAAATTACTAGATTTTACTTTACAGATAAAAATGAGCCACAAGGAGTTAGCAGGGTATGCAATACCCAGAGCCTGGGCCTGACCCCTCTGCCCCACCAGCTTTTTCTAATCATCAACCCCCCTCTGCCCCTGCCCCCCTTGCATTCCTCCTGTGCGGTCACCTCAGCCAGGCCTCCGCAGTCTTCCCACAACCCTCTGTTCTGAACCAGACTCGTCATGATTCTGATTCTTCAAATCTTCAAACTTTAAATTATTTAGTAACAGAAACAAGTGCTCGCCCCGTACCAGGATAAAATAGCCCTGAGCCAGGACACACAGCTTAGAGAAGAAGTGTGGGCTGGTTACAACCCTACCCATCCTCTTAACGGGTCTTCCTTCTGCAGTGAGCAACCTGCCCAGCTGGACATGGTGGTCCTGCCCCACAGACAGGATTAGAGGCCTGTCCTCTGTCCTGTGAGCACACAAAGCTTCTCCCTAAATACTGTTTCAGCTTCCCTTTTCCCCTCCCAAAACATATATAGTTAGACAAGTCTTACTGTCTAATTGGTTTCTTGGTTTCTGTGGTCCTAATGCTTAGGTCAGGCCTGGCACAATCAACCCTAAGTCCCCGTGGTCAGCAAAAGGAAAGAGGCTGGGATTTGAAGAAGGGAGGGAAGGATGGAAAGAGAGGGGGAAGGAGGCAGCCCTGTGTCTGTGGTATCCTGGTAACCCTTGGGCACTACATCAGAAGGACCACACTAAGAACCTGACAGATGGTGGGGAACCTGGGCCCCCACGCCCCACCCCAAGCTAACTGGCATCTTTTCTCTTCTTCCCCAGATGCGCCACTGGAGGGAGATGCTGACCTTTCAGGGACTTACCTCCTACCCTCAGGGTCTCCAGGGAGCCGCAATCTGAGCCCAGAGAGCCCGGAAGAGAGAGTGACAATGGCCCCTCCGAACCCAGGACAGTCAGGGGAAGACCTCCGTGAGCCGGAGCTGGAAGGGACAGCCCCCTCCGCCCGCCAGGACCCTGCTGCCCCAGCCATGCTGCTGCCCGAGGAGGCCAGCCCCAGCCACGGCAGGAAGAAGCCGCCTTCACTCAAGCAGGTGAACTCGGCCAGGAAACAGCTGAGACCGAGAGCCACTTCTGCAGCAGCCCTCCAGCACGAAGGGGCCCAGCCAGCATCCCCGGGCCTGGGTGTCCTCTCCTCTGCCACAGAGAAGCCCCGCCCACCGGGGGACCCTGACCCCGTGGCCTCCGAGGAGCCCCTCTGGCTGGACCGGAAGGACGGTGCGGTCCCCACGACACCGGTGCCCCTGCAGATCTCCCCCTTCACCTCGCAGCCCTACGTGGCCCACACACTCCCCCAGAGGCCGGAGCCTGGGGAGCCCACAGGGCCTGGTGAGGCCCAGGAGGTGCCCCCTGAGGACGCCAGTCCCATGGGCTTGATGGACAGAGGTGAGAATGAGCTGACCAGCTCAGCCTCTGAGGAGAGTCAGGAGACCACAACGTCCACCATTATCACCACCACGGTCATCATGACGGAACAGGCCCCAGGTATGCAGCCCCCAGCTCCTCCGGGCCTCCTCCTGCAGCCGGGACACACCTGCTGTGTGCAGGGCCTGGCGCATCTGGGCCAGGGAGGTCCAGGCTGCACCATCAGTTACCACCTGTGAGCACTGACTGTGAACTTGACTCAGAATTAATATCCCCATTATAAAGATGAGATACCTGAGGCCCTGCGACGACATCAAGCAACCTGCCCAAGGCCACACAGCTAAAGAGCGGAATTCAAACCCTTTTCACCTTGAGACAGAATCATTTAGCCTACATAGAAGGCCCTGACCTTTCAAAGTGCTTTTACTTTTACCATTACATGGACTTCTCTAGACTTGATAAAATACAGTTTGTGTTTCAACCTTTCTTCTTCTATCTTCTTTCCATTTTCAAACAGAGAAGAGAGACACGAGCTGTCAAGCATGCATAGATGGTGGAAAAATGCAATGTGACCACTCATGAAAGAGTGTGAACTCTGGGTTTGGAATCTGCTTGCTGTGTGAGCTTGGCCCAGGCACTGTCCCTCTCTGAGCTTTGGTTTACTTATCTCTAAAATGAGGACAAAATATCAGCCCCTGCAAGAATAAATAGGTTCACCCCATGCACTGCTTGGAATGGTGCCTAGCAATATGTAGTAAGTGATCATTCTGCATCAACTATTGATATTTTGATTACTGTATTGATTCTGGAATTGAAGGAGCATTAACAGCAGTGGGAGGGATGGGGACAGGAGAATGCAGGTGCCCCACAGGCCTAGTTCCACCCCACAGCCCATCTGAGCTGTCCTCCATGTCCTAATGAAAGTGCTTTCCCCCAGCTCTCTGCAGTGTGAGCTTCTCTGACCCTGAAGGGTACATCGACTCCAGTGACTTCCCACCTCTGCCCCTCAGCAACTTCCTGGAGTGCACATACAACGTGACAGTCTACACTGGCTACGGGGTAGAGCTCCAGGTAAGCACAGAAAGGCACCCTGCAGTGGCTGCCTCTTCCAGCAGGAAGTCTCTGGAGGATTGCCTTAGTCAAGCTCACTGTTGTCATCCTAACCAGTTTGGTTCTCTCCTTGCCTTAACAAGGGCAATTTGGGCTGGGCTTTGGTGAATGAATAGGAGTTCCCCACTCACTACACAACTGTAACAGTCTGGCACACATAGAGGAAGAAGATGTGTTGAAAAATTGTGAGGCATTATACTCAGAAAGAAAGTCCCCTGATACCCGGCTTATCAAACACACACACACACACACACACACACACACACACACACACACACACACACACACACTCAAGGAAGCTCCACCTGGTTTATTGGATTCATAAACTTTGCCTGGAAACCAAAAATGGAAAAGCAGGATTGCTTAGTGCTTAAACCTCTGAGCTTGAAGTCCCAGCTCTACCAGCTAAAGCTGCATGTCTTTAGCCAAGGGACTTCACTTCTCTGAGCCTCAGTTTTCCCATCAGTAAAATAGAGATGATGATAATGTTACCACTTTACAGATTTGGGGGCAGATGTAAATATGACAATGCCCAGGGCTTTCAGCCAGGGCCTTGCAGAGAGAGTGAGCACTCAATGCACGTTACCGTCATCCTTGCCCGAGTTCCCAGCCCTCACCAGCTGACCACCAGGTCTTTACAAGTCCTTTTTAAAAAACACAGAGGAGACATGTCTGGGAGTGGTGAGCTGTCCAATTCACCAACCCACAGGAGAGGAAGGGGGTGAAGCTGGAAAAGGAAGCTAGTACCACATGTCAGCAGACCCCTCCTGGCCAAGGTTAGTGATCTGGGAATGCACCTTTTCCTAATGGACAATAAAGAGCCATCAAACGTTTTTGAGCTGGGTCCGTTGTTGTATGGCCTGGCCAGAACTTTACTTTAGGGAGGTTTCCTGACTTGTACAGGAAGGATAACAGGTAAACCCCTCAGCAGAAGAACCTGTGATCTTGGCAGCCCCCAGAGCATAACATAGTGCATGGCACATAGTAGGTACTTAAAAAATGTTCAGGGAATTAAAATAAGCTAGAGAAAAGTTGCTGTCCATCTGATTCTGGCACTTAATGAACCTTTTCCTTCACACCATGGAGACCCCCCTCTATGTCTTATACTGTATGGCGGTCTTTACCATAATTGCCTCAGTGAGCACCTACTATGTACCAGTCACAGCCATCAACACTGGGGGATATGGTGGTGTGCAAAACTGATGCAGGACATACCCCAAAGGAGTTCACCAATTTGTAAATAAGACATCAGACACACATCAAGGACATTAGGATGCCATTTGAAAAGGTATCTAGTAGCTGTTTATATAGGATGGTGTAGAATCACAATAGAGGGATGAGCAAGCTCCTTGGAAGTCACAGGAGTTTTCACAGAGGAGGGCAATTTTAGTGGGGGTTTGGTGTATGAGTAGGAGTTCATGAAAGAGAAAAGAGAATAAGGTGTATGGCCTGAAAGAAGAAAGGCTTGTGGGTGAGGCATGCCCTGCTTAGATGAGGGAGAGAGGGGCTGGAATCCCAGATTGCACTGGGAGAAGCATAAATATGTAAATTGGGCACTGGAAACTGACTTAAATCTCATCCAACCCCACTCCATTTGTTCAGTGCCCTATATACAGGCGAAGTGTCTCCTTTCTTTCTCCTCCAAGCCTAGAAAGTATACTTGGTAAACTTTGAAGAGATTCTGGAGTTGAAGCCACCATTTAGGAGGATAAGACAACGGGCCTGAGAATGCCCTAGAAATGAGGTGCCCTTCACTCACTCAGCAGTTCATGAAGACAGGAGAAGAATGAATTCAATCATTCTATAAGTATTTATTGAGCACCTACTATGTGCCAGGCACTATTCCAGGCTCTGGGGACACTGAATGACATGGGAAAATCCCTGCCTTCATGGAACTTATGTTCTGGTGGAATGCCTTTTTCTGTCTCCCTAGAGATGGGACTTCAGGCACACGCTGATCAAGTCCCTGCTCCTACCCACTAACTCTAGGAGAATTTATCTCTGCGGCCAGCATTCAGAACCCTCTCTTCCAGAACCATCTATGGAGGCTCACAGATCTTTGCAGTTTCTCTGCTCTGCAGCTTGGTTTCACTCTGTGCCCTCAGCCTTCAGGGAAATCAGAAGAGCCTAGATATTCCTGGGGACCCAGATGTTTCCAGGGCTGGAGCTTGGGGCTTTCTGTCCCGTTGACCAGGGGCTGGTTGGGTCATGCTACACGGGCAGTGCCAGGGTTGGGGGTGCTGCACTGGCAGCATCACAGCCCGAGAGGCTCCTGCCTCAAACACGACTCCGAGTTTCTCTGTCTGCCCCTGCCTGTCCCCAGGTGAAGAGCGTGAACCTTTCCGAGGGGGAGTTGCTCTCCATCCGTGGGGTGGACGGCGCCTCCTTGACAGTCCTGGCCAATCAGACGCTCCTGGTCGAGGGGCAGGTAATCCGGAGCCCCACCAACACCATCTCTGTCTACTTCCGGACCTTCCAAGACGACGGCCTCGGGACCTTCCAGCTGCATTACCAGGGTAGGGTCACACCAAAGCTGACGGGGCGCAGCTGTTGGCCTCAGTTTCCCTCTGAAGCTGAGGATTCTCAAAATTTTTGTGCCAGGGATCCCTCTGGTAGATTGTAAACCTATGGACCCCTTTTCCGAATAATGTTTTTAAAAGCATAAAATACAATTAAAAAAGAAACCAGTCATGTTGACAGTGTCAAACTATTGTTTGAACCTATGACATAATCTCTGTGCTTCTTTATTAACCCATTAAGTAATATCTCCTGCTGGTTCTGGTAAATACAGTAATTTCACATTACTGGGGAGCATAAGAAATATGTCAAGGTATCCATTCTGATATGAAAATATCTGTAATTTCTCTTGATGACAAAGTTACAGGTTCTACTAATATGTTACATTTTGTTGCCTACATTCACCATTGAAGGAAATACCACAGGTCCCTGAAAGGTCAGTGAAAGTAAACCAGCCGCTTATCCGCCTTCCAACTCATGACTCCTGCATTTGATGCATGAGTCCCATGAGAGTCCATGGATTCTGGTAAAAAGCCTCAACCCCCCAGGGTCCCTTTCTATCTCTTGCTCCCTGTCCACTGTTTCTTTCTTTCCTTTGTGTCTTTCAGTAAGTCTCCTCTCTTGATTTCTATGTCCTCGATTTCCTCTTTTCTCTTGCTTTCTCCCTTCCTTTCCCTTTTCTCGCCCCCTTATTTCTTCCTGCCCTCCCCTCCTTCTCCCCGTGTACACCCTGCATTCTCTCTCCCTGTCCCTCGTCGCCCCATTTCCCCACCTCCTGGGCAGTTCCCCGGACCTCGTCTGTCTTGCTCCCCATGCAGACTTGCCCACACATCTAAAGGGAAAGCAGAATTTTTAGCCACACGTCTGGATATTGAGAGGCACCCACATTTACATCAAATTGACCAAACATCTGGAAAAACAATTCCTTTTAAACTTTTTCCTTGGAGTTTTCAGAAAACAGTTGGATGATGGCATATGGAAATGTCCATTTCATAACTCTCCGATACGGAGACTCCCTTCTGCCTTGTGAATTACAAACTGAGAAAAAAGAATCACTTGTTAGGTGATGAAATGGAATGTATCCCTTGCTAATGAGTTCTGGGATTACAGACGTGCTGCTGGAGAAGTCAGAGCCGAGTCTGGGGGTAGAGCAGAATGGATTTAACATTCTCTTATGAAAACTGAGGCGCTCGACATAGCCACGTGCACCCCTCTCCTGCCCCAGCTAGTGAGTACTAACTGTGCCCCAGACATTGGGCTAAGGGAGCTCCTAATCCTTATTTAATCCTTACCCCCGCCGGTGGGGTAGGGGTGATTATCGACTCCACTGGAAAGATGAGAATGAAGTTCGGGGCACTGGCTCATTTTCCCAAGGTCATTCACAGTTTCAAAGTGCTGGAATAAGAACCTAAACTCACGCTGGGCTCCTCTGACACCCAACCCCTTGCCTCCCAAGACAGGTGCTTGAAGCTTTACTATCCATCAGCATTTCCGGGAGAGCCGGTTGCTCTAATTCTGGTGCAAGGGCCTGCATTTTTAACGCACACGTAAGATGCTTGTGCACGTGGGACTAGCCACCCCTCCTGTGCCCAACAGGAAGGCCATTCTATGTGCACATGGAGAGAGACTCCAATTAGGTATGGGAACTCATTTTTCACCCCAAATCTGCTGTCTGTGGTTAGGCACAGTGGGGAGTTTGGAGCCTGGATAAAGTGCTAATCTCACAGTCTCAGCACCGTCTGATCGATGAGAGTCACAAAGAATACCCTCCCCCAAGGCTGCCGAGCCCGCGGGGGGCTCATCTTTCCTCCTCAGCACAAACTGGCTCCCGGGTGTGGGTCACGTTCTTCACCTCCCCCCGCTGAGGGAGACTGCCTGCCTTTGCGCCTCTTCCAGCCTTCATGCTGAGCTGCAACTTCCCCCGCCGGCCCGACTCCGGGGACGTCACGGTGATGGACCTGCACTCGGGCGGGGTGGCCCACTTCCACTGCCACCTGGGCTATGAGCTCCAGGGCGCCACGACGCTGACGTGCATCAATGCCTCCAAGCCCCACTGGAGCAGCCAGGAGCCCACCTGCTCAGGTATGCTCCAGGGAACAGACTCCTCCAGATACAGATGACGGAGGACTGCGGCCATTCAAATCTTTATTATGTGATAAAACAGACCTAATACACAATTTTCCATTAGGGATGTTTAGTACATTTGCTGTATTGCTCAACCACCACCATCTAGTTACAGAACATCTTCCCTCCCAAAGGGAAACCCCGCACCCACTAGCAGGTGCCCTCCATCCTTCCCACCCACCCGGCCCTGGGCAACCACCCATAGGCTGACTGTCTCTACAGATCTGCCTCTTCCAGACATTTCATATAAATGGAACCACTCAGTATGTGATTTTTCTGTGACTGGCTTCTTTCACTAGCTCTTCACTGACATATTTCACAAGGTTCGTCCATGTTGTTAGCATGTGTCGGTGCTCCATTCCTTTTTGGTGACTGAATAATATTCCATTATATGGGGGGGGCATAGACCACATTTTATATTCATTCACTGGTGGACATTTAATCTGTTTCCACTTTTTGGCTATTATGAATAATGTTGTTAAGAACATTGGTGTACAAGTTTTGGTGTGGATGTATATTTTCATTTCTCTTAGGTATGTGTGAAGAAGTGGAATTGCTGGGTCATATGGTAATTAGATCTTTAACTGTTTAAGGAATATTTCCCACAGTGGCTACCCCACCAGCCACATATGAGTACCAATTGTTTCACATCTTTACTAGCACTCATTTTCCATGTTTTTTATTATTACAGCCATCCTAGTGGGTGTGAGGGTATCTCACTGTGGTTTTGATCTGCATTTCCCTGATGGCTAATGATGTTGAACACCTTTTCATGTGCTTGCCAGTCATTTGTATATCTTCACAAGAAATGTCTATTCAAGTCCTTTGCCCATTTCTCAAAAATGTGATTGTTCGCCTTTCTGTGGTTGACTCGTAATTATGAGTTCTTTATATATTCTGGATACTAGACCCTTATTAGATACATGGTTGCAAATATTTTCCCTCCTTCTGTGGACTGTCTTTTCACCTCTCGATAGTGCCCCTTGATGCAAAATAGTTTTTAGTTTTGACAGAGTCTAACGTACCTATTTTTTCTTTTGTTGCATGCGCTTTTGGTGTGACTGCTGCTGTATTTGGAGCCCAGTCAGTATGTGCCGAGAGCCATGCCAGAGATGCAGTAAATCCTCCCAGCAGTCCTACCTGGGGGAGACTGTTATCTCCAATTTACAGATGGGGGAACTGAGGCTCGTGCAGGTGAAGCCACTTGCCCAAAGTCACCAGATAAAAATCAAACTGAGTCCAGAACCCTTCCTTCCTGACAGCTTCACCACTCAAAGTGTGGTCTGCAGACCAGCAAGATTATTAGAAATGCACAATCCTGGGCCCCCTACAAGATGAGCTGAGTCAAAATCTGCATTCTAACATGCCCCGGGTGTGCTTCATGTGTGCAGTGTTGATTGAGAAGCGCTGGGTGTACCAGTCCATCCCTGGGCAGATGGTCAGCAGAGCCTTGACCATCCGGTTAGTAGGAGAGCAAAACCCTGCTGGATTCTAAGCAGTCCCAACAGTGGCCAGGAGGGTACAGGCTGCCTGTATTAACTGAGGACCCACTATGTGCCAGGCCAGGAGCCACGTACAAGGCGAACACTGGGAATAATAAAATGTAATTCCTGCCCTCCAGGCATTCATGGTCAGGGCAATCCAAAAAGCAAACAAGAGCTGATGATAAATTCTGCGATTTAATTGTTGAAGAATTGTTCCCCCAAGGCCCTTCAGATTTTCTCTTCTTTCTTTTTAACAAAGATAAAAGAAAAAGCCAAACCATAGGATAGTTGGTCTCCACGCCTCTCTCAAGTTAAATTTTATCTATGTGTGAAATGAGAGAGGAATTAAGCCTCAATTTATGCTAAGAAAGATGGATGGGGAGCCACTGCTGGCAAATTGAAGCCAAACCGAGCCATCAGCCAGCTTAGTGAGGCAAGGAAGGGGAGCAGAGAGACAGGCGGCTCTGAGAGGACAGATGGCCAGCACCCCCGCTGGGGCAGCTGTCTACCACCCCGCAGCTCCTGAGCCATAGGGCAATAACACTGGCTACGTTTTGAGCACCTACTCTGCACCGGGGATTACGCCAAGTTCTCTACATGCATCATTTCATCCATTTGTCACTGCAGTCCTATAAGGAGAGTGGAATTATTATCCCATTTTACAGTAAACTCCCGGTTCAGAGGGTTTCAGGGACTGGTCCCATCCCCAGCAGATGAGTGGCACAAGCCAGGTTTGATCCTCCACTTTAGGAGGGGAGGGCAACCTGGGGAGAGACAGAGGCCCAGCAATCTATTTGCGGTCTTCAAAGAAGTTGCAGGGCCTCTTGGCAGTGCATTGGCTGTTGGTCACAGCAGAGTCTGGGGCAGAGAAGAGAGCTATCTCCCTTTCTCTCCAACGGCAAGGTCTTAGTAGGCATGCAGCCATTCAACAAACATTTAATGAGAACCAACTATCTCCTAAGACTAAGACTGCTACCTCCTCAGATTTGTGTATCTCTTCCCAGTTCACAAATCACTCTTTTAATATTTCTGTGTTCAATTTTTATGATCCAAGTAATATATGTCTCTGGTGAAAAAAGTTGTTTCCAAAAATATAAAAGTATAGAAGTACTTATATAATATATATAATATATAATTATAATATGATAATATATAATACAATATACAATTATATTCATGATCTCAATTGATCCTTACAAATGGTTCATTGAAATAGGTATGGCAGATCATTTTCTAACTTATTTTGTTTTTCTCTTAAAATATAGCACTTTCCTATATTCTCAAGAATTCTTTGAGAGCATGCTTTTTAATAATTGTATGAGTGGAATGTATTTATTTCACCAAACATCTGGGAGTGGATATTCATGTTTCTCATTTTTCGTCCTTAGGAACAATTCAACACCAAACATCCTCATTCACAAGTCTTTGTGAAAAATCTCTACATCTTTAGCATAAATTCCCCGAGCTTTAATGACTAGGTCAAAGTTTTTTAACACACTTTCTAGATTTTTCACCAGCCGGCCCTCCTGCAAGATCACAGCGATTTGCCTTCTAACAGTGCATGAGGGACCATCACCTATCACCTTTGCCATGGCTGGTTTATTGCTGCTTTTTATCTTGACCAAGTAGGTGGATAAAAATAGAACATAATTTAGATTGCATTTCTTTTATTATTAGCAAGGCTGAATTTTTTTAGTACTGATGAAGCACTTAAAAGACTATTTCTTCTTTTGTAAACCTCTTATTTTTGTGTTTCTTGATTAACATTTGTAATTAAGAATCATGGCAAAGCCAGCCCCCACTGGAAGAACCCTAAATCACACATTCCCTGCTGTGGAACGCGCACGGTGGTGGTCCCAGTTATGAAATGAGATTATCTGTTCAACAGGGTGACCCCACCCAGGAAGACAGGCCTTTTCCACGTCTTCCTCTTCTCATCCTGTTTCTTCCCACTAAGGAGTAGGGGTGGGGATCAGGGGGCAATGAAACCCTCTCTCCCTCTCTCTGCCCTCCTCTCACCACCCACCCACCCCTACTTCCTGCCCCCAGCCCCTTGTGGAGGCGCTGTGCATAACGCCACCATCGGCCGCGTCCTCTCCCCGAGTTACCCTGGAAACACCAACGGCAGCCAGTTCTGTGTGTGGACAATAGAGGCTCCAGAGGCCCAGAAGCTGCATCTGCACTTTGAGAGGCTGTCGCTGCGTGAGAAGGACAGGTAAGCCCCTGAGCGTCCCCAGCTGGCCTCGTTCCTTCCCGGAATGTTAGATGGCAGCTAAGGGTTTGGAGTCTTGAAATGGCCACAACTTTGACTCATGGAAAGCAAGGAAGGACGAGCTCCAGTCTCTTGCGTTTACAGAGAAGGGACTTGTCCCGGGTCACCCAGCGGGATAGGGGAGAGGCAAGAGGGGAATCCAGATCCGCCACATGGCACTGCATGGCCCTTTTTGCAGCTTGGGGAGGGAGTGTTTGTTGAGCACCTGCTCTGTGCCCAGTCACGTAGTAGGCTCCATGGAGAACAGGAGAGAAGCAGATAACATTGGTTTCTGGTATGGTAAGAAGGTGACATGAAAAAAATCAGGCTTATGCATGTGAAAGAACTAGCGAGAAGTCACAAGGCAATATCTAAGTAATATGCATAGAATCCTGAATCTTAAACTTTAATATGCTATGACTTTATGCTAGAAGGTTCTTGAATATTCTAGGAAACTAAAACTTTAGCTGCCTAGACTTGCTGTCTTAGGTTGGGTTTCCTTGAAAATAAACATGGTGACAAGGATTGGAGGGAAAGTACCTTATTTGGGAACTGGTCCTGGGACCAGCATGGGAAAATGATCAGGGAAAGAAAGGAGTCAGTGCAGTATGTGTCACAGACAGTGACTGTGGGGGCTACTGGAGGTCCACCCACTAGGATCTCCAGGAATCTGTGCTGAGTGATCCTTTTGGAGAGGGAGGGCGCTGGGGTATTTACCCATCCACTATTGGATACGGGATACTCCTGGACACACTGACTCCCCACCATTGCCTGCCACCCATTGAGCTGGTTGGGCTGACCTGACTCTCACAGACTTTTGGTAGGAAGTCAGCCAAAAATACATGTACAGTGAGAGCTGACGGGATATGGATGGGGCATCGACAGCATTCACTTCTCTGGAATGCCAGCACCTTAGACTCTGCAATCTATCCGACTTTGATCTGAGAATTATAGTGTCCTGGCTCCTTAGAAGCTTCAAACCTAGACCATTAAGCTCTTTAGGTAGGAAAAGATTCTTCTAGAAAACACCAGACAACTGAATAACTTGGGTCCACTTCCTTCCAAATGGCCCAGCTTTATCCTGAACAACTCCATGTCGATAAATCACTACCTTAAAGTGGAAGGTGTAGAACAAAGCCTCCAAAGTGTGGCTTCTCAGCCGCATTGAGATAACCTGGGAACTCTTTAAAATACAGATTCCCAGTCTTTCCTCTTGGAGACTGATTGAGAAGCCAGACTGGGGACCCTCAGTGAAAGACACTTTCTAAACTTGGGACCTCATGGCTGCCTCTCTGAATGGTGCTGGGAATAAACCAAGTTTGTTTATACTGGACAATGAGAAAGGGCAGAAAGAAAAGCTGACCAAACTGAGTATTTTCTGAAGGTTATTTAAATCCTGACCAATGAGCCAGACACAATGACATTGCCATTTCAACTAGTAGTTTCTTTGGGGTCCTGCAAAGGTCTGTGAAAGGTTTGTGTGGGCACCCACTGAGGAAGACCAGTTCTCAAGTGGGTCAGAAGGGGAAAACCTTTGTAGTGGTTCATCAAGGTTAAAGGTCAACACACACACACACACACACACACACACACACACACACACACACATACCGTGAAGACTACTCAATGGGGTATGAAGAAAAGAAAAATTAACTTTGTCTGTCCCACATACTTTATTAAGGGAAAATAGCTGAAATCCCACAATGTATCAGTTGCAGGAGCTTGAAGCTAGAGAAGGCTTCACAGAAGAAATGGGACCTTCCCCTAAACCTTGGCAAGAGATTGGATAGAGTAACCCACAAATACAGTGGGAAAAGTATTCCAAGCTAGTAGAATAGGAGTGGGAGAGAACAAAGATACAGAGCGAAAAATTAGCAAATTTGTCCCAGGGTTGCAATAGAGGTCCTGATGGGAAAGAGGAAATAAGCTGGGAAGCTAAACTGGGGTCATATTCTGGAGGGCTTTGAACGCCAGGCTGCTTCTACAGGCTATAAAGAGCCATGGAATTATTTTCAGTGGAGGAGGGACAAGAAGAAAGATTTTAAGAGGATTTTCCCCAAAATGAAATCTTTCTAAACTCCAGTCCCATGATAAGCAGCCATAAAAGATGGGTTTTCTGGTCAAACATGTTTGGGAGACACTGTATATCCTATCCCTGTCTTGGAAGTTATATTAGCCAGCAAAGACACTGACAAGTCCTGCAGGGGGAAAGAAGGTTTAATTTTTATTTAACCTTGCATTTCTCAAACCCATTTGACCACAGACTATATATGGATTTAAGATAAAATTTATTATTATTTCAAACATTCTAGAGAACATAGCTAGAAAATTGCTATTTTTGGAAGATTAATGGGCTACAGAGATTTTGAGATCTTGGGGTTTTCCTCCACAGTGTACTTCTCTGCCAAAGGCTTCAGTTGTTTGAAAGAGGAGTCCTGGAACATAGGCCCCAAGATATAACACAGTGAGCAAGGGTCAGAAAACTGTGACAAGGCCCCTCCCCTCTGTGGAATGGCCTCTGACCTCTATCCCAGCCCCCTTCTCACCCCAGCCTCAGCGGACGCAGGCCAAAATGAGCAAACTGTGGCTCCAACATTTATGCATTTTGGTGACATTAGAAATTCATCTGGGCAACATGAAATAAGCCCTTGTTATGAGTCACAGTAAAAAAAAAAAAACTCAAAAGATTAAAAATGGCTGTTTATGACTCCATAAACAAAACTTATCTGTGTGTTATTTTCTTCCCCAATTTTGCAGAATCTCTTTTAAAATACCAGGACCAGCAAGGAGTGAAGTATCAAGTGGTTTTACTAACAGTAAAAATGAATACCAACATTTTAGCTAACACGCTGTATTTTTCAGGGCACTTTATCCTGTGAGTCTCAAAGCCCACCTGTAAGTCAGGTAGGGGAGATGTTATGATAGTTGTGCGAACTAACACCCAAGATGTACTGAGATTAATGTAAACTCCGTTGGTGGGGACGTGGGAAGTGGGAATCAGAACTCCTAGCTCCAGTTACAGCATTTTTGAGGAAATGAGAATCAGAGACAGAGACTGTTAGGGGTCAAATGCCTTGTAAATTTGACTTGCGAACCTACTCTGTCCTGGGCACTTTCTACCCATGATCTCTGGGCCCCACGCTCTGGTGCAGGTGTGACTGTACCCATTTTGCAGATGAAGTAGCGTGAGTAAAGCATCCTTGTCCGAAGTCACACAGCTCAGAAGTTACAAAGCCAGGACTCTGATTGTCTGGCTATACATAGCACAGTTTCCAGATGACATCGGCTTATTAATCCCTGCTTCTCAACTAGTAATATTAATTAGTATCAACTAATTACTCTCATTCATTACATCGTACACATTACTTCCTCTACGACCTCAGAAGCCTTCAGTGAGTGTAGGACAAGCATTCTACAGAAAAGGAAGCAGGTCTGATAAGCGGAGCAGCTTGTGGGAGCGAGTGCGTCGGGGCTTGAGTCTGGGAATGAGGCAGCTCCGGGTGCTGTGCGTCCGTGACCCAGGAAGACCCCCCAAGACCCCCCCTCTCTTTTCCCACTGCCAGGATGACGGTCTACAGCGGGCTGACCAACAAGTCGGCCCTTCTCTATGACTCCCTGCAAACCGAGAGCGTCCCCTTCGAGGGCCTGCTGAGCGAGGACCACAGCATCCGCATCGAGTTCACGTCTGATCAGGCGCGGCCGGCCTCCGCCTTCAACATCCGATTCGAGGGTGAGGGTCGGCCCCTCCCGGGCTGGGGTCGGGGGAGCAGAGGACGCAGGGCCGGGGCTGGGTCCTGGGAGGTAGAGAGCCGACCTGCTGAGGATGAGGGGAGGCCCGGTGGCCAGCCTGAGCCTTTGACTTCCAACGTGTTAGGAGGGCAAATGTTCGTCTTCACTTTTTAGATTGAAAATACGGAGGCCCCAGGAAGCCAAGTGAATGGCCCGAGGGCCATGAGCAGGTCGGCTGGGCCTGGAACACGGGGACTGGTACCCGTTTTCCGTGGAGCTTCCCTAAACGGCAAGAGGGGACCCATCCTCTGAGATCAGCGCTGTGACTAGCCCCCGACTCATTGGAGGTGCTGCCCCTCTTTTTGTATCCCCACCCCAGCCTTTGAGAAGGGCCACTGCTACGAACCCTACATTCAGAACGGGAATTTCACCACATCCGACCCGACCTATAACATCGGGGCCATAGTGGAGTTCACCTGCGACCCCGGCCACTCTCTGGAGCAGGGCCCGGCCACCATCGAGTGCATCAACGTGCGTGACCCTTACTGGAACGACACGGAGCCCCTCTGCAGAGGTGAGTGACCCCATTGCCACCTCCCAGGGCACCCCGGAGACCTCCACCTCTCAGACGGAAATGCCAAGGCCCAAGTTCCAAGGCATGTCACCGGTTTACATTGTATTACATTGCACATCACCAATTACGGCATTAAGACTCTCTCCAGGGCTCCCTCTCCTGTGAGTCGGATTTGCCTCTACTCCTTGGAAAATTACAAAACTGATACATTTCAAAAGATGCCCCTTCCTCCAGGCACAAGCCCCGTAGTGCACAGCTTAGTGAAAAGATCTCTGCATGGATTTCAGCTCCTATGCACCCCCTCTGCTGTGTACTTTTGTGCAGTGCACAACCCACCCAACTACACATGGCAGTGCTGCGTCTAATGAATCATAATGATGATGATAGCTGTTAATAGGTGTGCAAAAATGGTGACACAGGCACTCTGCCAAGGGCTCTGTGTGTGTGTCATCTGATTTACTCCTCACTACAACCCTGTGGGGTACATATTATTATTGACCCCATTTACAGATGAAGAAACTAGCTGGGCAATGGCATGCCTAGGAACAGAGCACGGGTAACCATCAGAGGCTCAGTTCCCAGAGACCCAGGCTCCCAGCCCCTGTGAACAGTGCTGGCTGTGGAGAACCCTCACTGATGGGGCTCTCAGTGTCCTGCCTCCCGATTTCCCCATATTCGAAGCCATTGAGCCACCCCGAGTCTGGGTCCATGTGGAGTAATAAAGACAGCCCTCGCCTCCAGCGGCCACCAGCTGGATGGCTGTTGGCATGAAATCATAGCCTCACATGGTGAGGGATTGATCCTTGTATTAAATGTGCTAGTTTAACAGAGCGGAATTTATTGGTGCTTTGGCCTCTGCCACACTGAGAACTTTCCAGAGCAGTAAACACAGAGCAGAATTTAAAGGGCCAGGCACCTGGTACAGCCATAGCCCTGCTTCCGGTTCAGAGCTGGGGTCTTGCACAGTGGTGTCAACTAAGAACAATCGAGCACTCACCTTGTACCTGGCCTTGTGCTGCCTTTGCCACTGGGACTCCCATTCTGAGCTCAGTTAAGCTTCAGAGCAACCCAATAAAGTTAGCAGTGGGGTTGTTCCAGCTGCACCAGGAAAGGAAGGGAACAGAGGCTCCAAGAAGTTATGCCTGGTCACCTAGCCAGTTAGTGGCAGAGGCAAGGCTGGAATCCAGGTCCACCAGACACAAACATACCATCTCTGCCCAAGAACAGGGCTATGGAGGATTGTTTTGGAACTGTGAGCACCGTCCTTTGTCCTCGGAAAGAGCCATAGCATCCTAGCCCCAGGATCACCAACCCTCTGCTAAAGGCGGCAGGTGGCCAGCCCTGACGTAATCCTTCCACACACACGAATGGGCTGCCTGCAGCGAGGGCGCCTGCCCACTGTACACAGCGAGCCCCGGCTCTCAGACTTCATAGCCCACACTCCTAACAGCTCTGCCACTTCGGTTGCCTTATGAATAAAGTGTGTGTGTCTGTCTGTGTCTTTTACAGCCATGTGTGGTGGGGAGCTCTCTGCCGTGGCCGGGGTAGTGCTGTCGCCAAACTGGCCGGAGCCCTACGTGGAAGGTGAAGATTGTATCTGGAAGATCCACGTAGGGGAGGAGAAGAGGATCTTCTTAGATATCCAGTTGTGAGTGTTCATGATGCCTGGGCCCCGGTCCAGCCAGACTGGGGGAGAAACCCCTTCTGCTTTATTCTGTCAACTGATATTAATTAAGCACCTACTTTGTGTCAGGACTGTGCAAAGAACTGGGGTCCCAGGGGTGAGGGAACAACAATGCCATACCCAGAAAGGGTCCCTATCATCAGGAAATTCGTCTGCTAAGGAAGCAGGCATTAAGTGGGGAAACACATTCTGAAACTTTTCTAAGCCATGCAAGGAAAGGTGCGTGGTGCTATGAGATTCCAGAACAGGGATGCGATACAAAGAGGAAGGTCAGAAAAGCCTTCCCTGAGGATATGATGCTAATACTCCAAGCTAAAGGAGGAGTTGGAGTGAATACATCAGAAAGGACCAGGATATGCAAAGGCCCTGTGGTGAGGGCAAGCACAGCATTTTCAAAAGACTGAATGGCCAGTGTGGCCAGGAGGAAGAAGGAAGGTTAACACATACTCTCAGTACCACAGTGGTTTATTTTCCTGTCTTTCTCTCTCAACTAGACCAAAAGACTCTTGCATCAGTGCTTGGTCTGATCTCTCTCTATTCCAGAGTCTGACACATAGCAGGTGTTCAGGAAATGATTGCTGAATGAAGAAACACTGAAATGAATGGACTTACCTGGCTATGGGGCTGTTGCCTGTACTCAGTGGGTGCACCTATTAGATGCTCCATCCAGAATCTTTGGGCCGTAACTTCCCAGAGATCGGGAGAAGAGGACAGAGACAGATGGTATCTAGAGAAGCCATGGACGCTGTGGCTACGACACTGGGGGTGGGGGGCGGGGGCAGGGGGGGCAATGCCGAGTTCTGAAGAGGCTCTCTGGAGGCAGCCAGGGCCCCTGAGGGTCAGCTCTCCCCTCTGGCCTAAAGCAGAAACCCATTCAGCTGGGGAGCAGGACTGTGGGACTGCTTGGCTCTGCAGGAGAGCCTTGCAAGAGGGAAATTATTTGCAAGGTGTCCCTTTGAGGCAGTGGACGCGTCCTCAGAGGCTGTCCCAGAATGCCCTGCTCCACTGAGTCACAGGTTTACAGACCTCACACAGCTGCCTCTTGTGGACCTGGAGCCGGGCCAGCCTGGGTCAGAATTCCATCTCCTCCACTTCCAGCTGTGTGCCTCTGGGCTTCTCTCTCGGCCTCAGTTTTGTTCATCTGTAATGAGGGTCTTGGAACATTGCTGTTCCATGGCTACTGGGGCAGGTTCTGCCCATGGCCCTACTCACTCACTCCCCAATGAGGAATGACCCCTTTGCCCTGTTCTCATCCCTGACTTCTAGCATCTGGAATAAAGTGCTCGTTCATCTAAGACATAGCTCTGGAGTGTCTCCTATGAGTTAGGCACAGTTTAGGCACTGAAAAGGCTCTGATGGCTGCCCCCTTAGCAGTAAACTTTATGTTGGAAAAGAGTGGATTGGGTTGTCTCTATTAACTCTGAAAAACAACAGCTGTGCAGCCACTGTGTGCGAGCACTAGGCTAGGCGCTGGGGTTACAGCTGCGAGAGAAACAGAACAGTCTCTACCCTCACTGTCCAGTGGGTGAAGCATCCAGAAAACTGTGCAGTGTGATTAGAGGGATGAGGGGAGGACAGGCCACTGAGGAAACCTAAGTGAAATTCAGGAGGAAGTGGTTTCTATGCTGGATCAAAAGGGAAGGTAGGTGAGTGATGAGGGGGAAGGAAGTGTGTCCCCCACAGTGAGAACCGCATGTGAAGAAATGAGAAGAAAGGTGGCCCACCTAGTGATCTGAAGGAAGTTTAACGTGGCTGGAGCGTGGATATTGGGTAGGGGTTAGAGAAGGAGAGAGTCCCGTGGCCCTAGGGTCTTCTTAGCTGAAGCTTCAAATAGAAACTCTTTTCTAAAGCTGCTTTCTCTAGGAAGCCTTCTGTGGCTCCCATTGCACGCATGTAAATTTAAATTATTGTCCTGGTTTATGAGCACCCCAGGAGAAGAGGAAATCAACTCCTGATACCCTGGCTTCTCCTGCAGGAGGTCCTCCCAGTGCTCCCCCACCTCCACCTACCACCACACACAGACCACTGTGGTCCCTGCCCCTTCCACCGGGCTCAGCCATTCTCTCCTTGCAGGGTACCTCCCAGACTTTGCTTCACCAAGACTTGCCCCCACCTCCCCTTAGTGGAGACCTTCCCTTCATCCCTCTGAGCATCAAATACTCAATTCACCTACAGCTTGACACCAGACGGGGTTTTATTTCCACTGCAAAGCATGCGGTGGGACGGCTGATCACACACTTAAAGCAGAAATCCTTCCCTAGAGCCAGGCCACCACCAGCATCAAGAACAGGGAGGGGACCCTTCCAGGGGGCAGACTCCCTCTCTTCTGATCACCTTACCAGCCCCAGATGGGAGTGTAGTCTGGGAGCAAGGACCCCTGGCTAGTGCCCTGACAGTGATCCCGGGCATGCCTGTACCCATCACCGGGCATGTGGGCTTCGCTGTCCTTCTCTGCAAAGCAATGGGTTGCTGTGAGCCGAGAGGGTGCAAACCAAACTCCTGCAGGGCCAGCAAGTAACACAATGGGAATGGGCGAGGCTGAGCCATCATTTGGAGGGGAGGCGACTGTGACAGACTGGGATGCACATCCCCACCTAAAATCATTTAATTCACTTTTTTAAAATAATGACCACCCCCCACCAAAAAAACAGGGCCTGCAGGCTGGATTCAGACTTGAGACAGGCCACCAGTTTGCAATCCTTGGTCTAGATAGTGATAAAGATCCTTTCTGACTGTGGCGACGAAGAAAAAGATTTTCACCACTTAGTACCTAATATCTGCAGGGTTCTTTACAAACATTAATTTATTTGTTCCTTGGAGTAATGCAATGAGGTAGGGACAACTCATATTCAGCTTATACCCACCTGCTTTCTGACAGCTTCCCTTGGGTGTCTAAGAGCCAAAGTTAACTCATGATTCTCCTTCTCCAAACCTGTCTCACCTCATCTTTCCCATTTTGTTAAGGAATCATCCATTCTGCCAACGGCCAAGGCAGAAAGACTCAGAGTTATTCTAGACAGGTGGAATACTGGTAAATGTGCAACAACCGGCTTTCTTGGCAAGTGGGCTGGGCAGCAACACCCTAATTTGTAGCACTTGCCATTTTCCAGGGTGTAAATACTCCCCCCATGGTCAATTTCAGGCTACCAACACAATGCCGACAGGCTCACCTGGTTAACACCCACAGTAGGCTCATCTGGCCTGCCTCCAGCACACCCACATGAGCCGCATCCTTCTCTTCCTCTCACATCCTGCACCCAGGTCCTTGGCACGTCCCGTTAATTCAGCTCAAGAGTCCACATATGCCCAGAGTGCAGACACCTCTGACACCACTACTCCCGCCGTGGTCCAAGCCACCACTGTCTCATCCCAGGATTACTGCAGCAGCCTCCTTGCTGGCCTTCCTGCTCCCGTCCCCTTTGTCCCTTTCAGATACTTAGAAAAGTCTAGAGGCACTTCTGATTGTCCCAGTTGGTGGTGAGAGTGAGGGTGGTACCGGCATCTAGTGGGGAGAGGCCAGGGGCGCTGCGGAAAGTCCTACAATGTACAGGACCACCCCAGCGCAAAGAATTAGCTGACCCAAAATATCAGTAGTGCCAAAACAGAGAAACCCTGCCCTGTGCTGAGCCCTGAAGGACAGACAGAAGATGAGAAAGGTGTTCCAGCCAAAAGGAACGGCGTGTGCTAAGGTCCAGAAGAAGGAAAGCATGACGCCCTTCTTATTTGGCTACAATACTGAATAGATGCTGAGCATTTAGTTGGCATGCCAGGCACCTGCACCTTAAGCACATGTATTGGGTTATACTATTGTCTCCATTTTACAGATGAGTAAACTGAGGCTTGGAGACGTGCAGCTATGATCACATGGCTGGGAACTGGCAGAACGAGGATTTGAACTCTGCCTGCCGTGTCTCCAGGGTCTGGGATCCTCACCAGCACCTAAAAGGAGCTGGACGAATCGGGAGTAGATGAGCTCTGGTGTGCTCAGGGCTCAGTGGCGCAGGAGAGGTGACCTCAGGGAGGAAGGCCCACAGGCCGCAGTAGAATCGGGCCAGTCCTTGAACGCGGCGTTAGGGAGTCCGGACTTGCCCTAACTGGATGGCAAGGGAAGGGCTTTAAGCATTTTACAGTCTTAAACCCAAACGAAGCCAAGTGCCCCGATCACCAACCCGAGGCTCTCTGGCAAACTCTGGCACACACTTGGCAGAGTGGCATCAGACTTGGCACCTCCTTCCTCCCACAGAGGGAGTGAAAATAGCATCTCACCAGCAAGGGTTATGTGAGGCCCAAGAGCTGCTGGGTTTAATTTATCTTGCTTGGTTTCCGCTGACAGCTTTAGTAAACCAATTTGGGTTTGATAGCAAAAATAATTCTGTCCTCAGGGCCCCTCACACCGCCTAAGTGATTGCAATTGTTATTTATTACATCGGTGAGGGAGAAGGAATTTGTGCCGCTGACTGAGCTGGGTAGGTGGCCCATAGTAGGCACCGGGCGCTGTTTGCTGAGTCATGGGGACATGAGCCACACGTGGCAGGCGAGACATCCACTGGCAGGTCTGCTGATGCTCTGGGCATTGGGATGATGCTTCTAATCAGTCACCAGTTATGAAGGACCTACTGTGTGCTGGGCCTGAGCTGCATAGTTTATAGTCTTGAGCAATAATGAATGTGAACATTATTATGTAGAGATAATAATTACATAAATGAGAGCTAACGTGAGTAGAGATAATTACAGAGGGGTAATTACCTAAATTAGAGATAATGTATGCACGGCATATCACATGAGGGTCTGGCATGTAGTTGGCACTTCATAAATGGAGACTACAATTACCAGTAATCCTTATCATCACCACACTATGGGTTTGGAAATGACAGCACAGAGAGGTGAAGGGGCTTCCTCAGGTCACACAGCGAGGGTTTGCGCACGCACCATAACCTCCACTTTCATTACCTTGAACAGCCTTT